CACACACACACACACACACACACACACACACACATACATTCACTCACTCACCTTCTCCTTGTGTGCTGCACTGAAGATCAATGCCCCACAACCTGCCATGAAGCCAATCAACCTCTATCTGACACTCCTCCCCCCCCTACTCCTAATCATTATCATACCTGAATCCCTTACTCCTTCCCAGTTTACTCCCACAACTAACACACACAAGAAGGGTATTTAAGTAACAAATGGTCACTCCTTTCCTTTCAAAACAGAGCTTCCGATCTAATGCAAACATCTCTGTACAATTTGAACACTCAAAGTGGTATGAGGAAATGCCTCTGTCACACTGAAGAATTTCCTATATTTGGGGACTCTAGATGAGATATTTAGTTTTGCACTAAGTTGACACAGCATCACGATACATTGAGGGCTTTAAATTATCTACGCAGTCCCTTTGATGACTGATAGTTTTCCTTGGAACATACAGAAAAATTTAAGCTAAGATTTATGTGTGAAAAAATTACTTTTTGTGTATAAGTTAGGCTACAGAGAAAGCTTGAAGACAAAAGGCTACAGTTACATTTGTGATTGCATGTGAAGATTCAGTCACATCTGTAAGACCAAATAGTGCCAGAACCTCTGGTGGCAATGCAGTTAAGCGTTCAACTGCTAATCACTAGGTTGGTAGATTGAACCCACCAGCCACTTTGCAGAAGAAAAATGTGGCCATCTTTCCAGAAGTTTACAGCTTTAGAAACCCTTGGGGCAGTTTTACTCTGTCCCCACTCATAATAAGGTGAGTCAGGAACAAGTTTTAAATGAATGTTATGAGGACAGAGACCATATAAAATTTGACTACTACTGTATATAACAGGAACCCTGGTGGTGCAGTGATGACCTGTTGGGCTGCTCACTGCAAGATCAGCAGTTTGAAACCATCAGCCAGCCACTGTGGGACAAAGATGAGTTTTCTATTCCAGTAAAGAGTTACAGTCTTGGAAACTCACAGTTCTACCGTCTTACAGGGTTGCTATGAGTTGGCATCAACTCAATGCAGGGAATTTAGTTTGGGGTATATCTAATAAGGATTCCTCATAATGACCTTATCAGAGAGGGTAGAAGCCCCTAAGAGTTTCCCAGATTAACTCTTTACAGGAGTAGAATGAGTTAGCATCGACTTGACAAC